TTAGTAAAGACAATTAATTATGGCACTGTGTCCAAAAAGTATTTGTTGGGTGAGCTACTTCCCTATTTACTCTTTGATCCTTCATTTTCTGTCTCTGAGCTTAGCCTTTCTCAGCTGTAGTCACACAATAAAGTGTCTGTTCTTCTAGCTGAGAAAAATCTTTCCCTGTTTTTTTGAGGGATCTTCTGAGATTTAGTGTTTCCTGGTTCCTGAAGTGTGTATAGCTTGCTTGAGATGGTGCTTAGCTCTGCTGTTAATCAAGTACCCAAAGCGAAATTTTTACTGGCAGAGAGAAGTTGGGGAGACAGGTGATAGCTTGAGTCTCTAGAGGTTGGCAATAGTCTGTCTCATCTTGGCCAACAAAGGGAGGCTGCCAAGGTGATACTTCTGGTTCTCCTCCCCTGTATTCAGGGCCTGCACAGGTCTTGGGCTGCGGGTTGGATGCAGATGCTGAGCTTTGGTGTCTTGTAGAGGTCAGGTGTGCAGACCATCCTGGGGTTACTGTGTATAGGGCTATTTGACAGTACAGACTGGCAATACAAGTGTAGGTGCCTGGGAGCTTTTTGAAGATTTTATCACAGGGGTAGCCTACTTTAATACGTGTGTATTTCAGGAAGTTTTTATAACTTTAATATAGAATATAAGCAACTACTAGGAGAATAATTTTAATTACACTGTCAGAATATCACTGAGAGAGAAATACAGCAAAAACCATATCCTTTGGTTTTACAGAGACCTAAGGCTAGGCTGTTGTTATTCTATTACCTCCATTGAGACTCTCCAGATTAAAGTTTTTAATAACTAAGGAAAAGGTGTGGAGAGAAAAGTACTAAATTCCATGCAGTGTTGTCTGCCTCAGAGTGAAAATCTCTCCTGGGAAGACGAAAAAGATAATGCTGTATTAGCTAGCTAGTTCAGAACCATTTCAATATCTTTCTTAACTGAAGGCAATTCTGGAATTACATATCACCCACCTTGTGTGGAAAAGACAATTCATATAAACTGATTTTGCAGGTTAGGGACAGTTACTGTTTGTAATTGCCTTGTATAAAAATATTGCTGTGTCGCTGAGTGGAACATTTCAAAGTAGGATGACATATACAGAAGGGAGGAGTCAAAATACATATGCTTCATGGTTGCAGCAGCTTTAACAGAACATACTAAGATATAAAACATGGAATCAAACAATATTTAACATTGAGGAGCAAACCCAGGAAATATTATAAGCAATATTGTTGCCATAAACACTAGTTCATACATCACCATTTAATTGCTTGTATAGTGAATTTTATCTTTGCTATTACTATTAGCATTACTTTATTACAGTTAAAGTTTTTTTTTTAATAGTATTATAATTACTATGACTATTGCTTTTATGTTGCAGCTCTAACATTCATATATTTGAAAGTGATAATATTATGAGCACTGGTTTACGTGTATCCATGTCAATAATATTTCATACATTGGTATTCTTTCAAACGTTTTTATTAATGGTCTAAAACGCTAGACTGGGAGACTCTGATGTCTAGGATGAAGACTGAACTACCACTGGCAGAACGTGACTCAGAGAACTCTAATCCAGAGTGGTATGATAAACATTCAGAACATATTTAAAAGACACCAGAGTCAAATTATAAGGTACAAAATGTAACTGCCTACAGTTATTTTAAACACTCCCAGCAAAGTGGTCACTGAGGTAAGATTGGTGAATGATTAGATAACAAAACAGATTAGAAGTCCTCTGGAAAAAATAAAAATTAAAGGGAGACTGACAACTTACTGTAAAGGTTTTTTGTACATTTTCCACAGAGATCTGAAAATTTCAGAGTGAAAACCAGACTGTGAAAAGATTAATGTGAAATGCAGGCTGCTTTTGCATGAATGAAGGGGTACCTGCATTGGAAAGACAGCAAAACATAAGAAAAGGCAGTTAAAAACACAGAAAGATTCTATTATGTCTCAGAATAAGAGGAACAAAAGCTAGATATATTTTTCTCAGAGCAGTGGTTTGAGCATTCAAAACATAAAATAGAAAAATCCAGTCAGTAATGATCATGTACACACTTTATCAGCTGCTGTTGCACATTTCACAAAGAAAATTCCTCTTCTGTGGGAGATGTAAGTTTTAGGTTATGACAACAGTATCAGTTTTATTTGCTTGAACACTTGATCAGTGCATCTTTAACAACAGGTGACTGGCTGAGGAGACTGCTGGAGACTATCCTGAGCAGGGAATGCCGCCTTCTGCTTCATTGGAATCCTAGAGTTGCCAGGTCTAGGAGAGAGGCAACAAGCAGTTGGGAGTTTGTAACCTACATGTGCTGCACATTGGTAAAGCCTTGTAGGTGTGTGGCAGGTTTATTCAGAGCTGAAGACTGCACATTTTTCATAAGCCTGCACTGCTTTCCTCTCCTATTCATCCTCACTTCATAACTCTCCTTTGGGTTTGCTTAAACAAGCATCAGTTTTGCAGCTCGCCATATATTGCACGAACTGGGTCTGTTGGAGTCAGTGTCACCAACAAGTGTTTCCCATGGTTTTACCATTTTTCTGCAAAATGTTAGTAATCATTGGAAAATCGACAGCATATGTTTCCAGAGCTTTCTGTGAAAACAATGGGAGTCTGAATTGTTCAATTGCGTGAGAACATCCAAGCCCATTTGATTAACTGATTCTTTCTTAGACTTGTATGCACTTCGAATATACCTGTGGAAAGCTTAGGGAAGGGTGTGATTCTGTCCAAACCAGCAAAAGCAAGCGAATGAAAATAGCTATGAAGGTGAAATCCCAAAGACATCCCAAATCAGTCACCTCCTATCCCATTGTTTGCAGACAATGCGCTTTTACTGTTCTGATTCACCAGTTATTATTACACTTCTCCTTCCCAGAGTGTGGTGGTAGGAAATGGAACATGTTTGTTGCTCCTTATGATACTTGAGTTCTGTTCATTACAAATAATTTCTAGAGAAGATAGAAAGTAATATAAGAACTGAAACTTTTAGAAAGAAGTAATGGCACTGCTCATATTATTTCCTTCTTTCCTTCACAGAGTTTGTTAGGGTCTGCTAAGAATCAGGCAATGTTATCTATATACAGAAGTCTTTATACTATGATTTATGTGATGCTAAATGTTTTAATCTAGAAATAGGAGAATTTTTTAAAAATGTATTTTTAAAATATTCTTTGATAACTTACCATATCTTTGATAACTGACCATATCTAAATCCCCAAATGTTGAGTAATGAAAGTGGAACTCTTAGTCAATGTGCCTTGTACACAGACTGCGGGCACTACCAGCTTTACCTTATGACTGAATACTTAACTTGCATTAAGATCTTTCATCAAAATACATTCATTTACAAGGAAGAAGAAAAAGGTATTTTATACCTTTTTTAGAAGCTTTAATATTATGATTAAAATATTATATGGTATTCTGTAAATTACCAGAAGCAGTGTATTTGACAGCTATTTTAGCCTATGACAAAGGAACAAGTTTTACTTCTACCTGAGAAGACAAAACACAAAAAAGAAAAATTAATCAAATTTGTTCAGCAATCCTAGTATCTTTGAAAGGTTTTAGGAGAACTTTCTTGAACTTTTCAAAAAATAAATATGTTCTCTTCCTTTAAAACACTTCCACCTATGAAATGTGAAACTCAAAGATTAGACATAAAAATCATTATTCTGCCCTCATATGGTGAAATTAATTGGCAAAAGGCATTATTTTCTGTTTGAAAGTGTTTCCATGTTCACTCGACCTCTACGTAATAGATAATGAATCAAAGAAATAAACTTCTGAAATTTATACAGGAAAATAAATACTTTCTTCTCCATACCTCATCACACTTCAAAGATTAATCAGACAAATGGAGCTGAAAATAAAAGTGCATAATAAGCATCTTTATTTTTAACGTGTGAGTTGCAGAAAAGAAAAAAATGGGAGGGGAGAAAGGGATCAAAATACAGATCTTCCTTTGTCTGAATTTAAAATTCTACTGGAATAACTAAATGTCAAAAACTGTGGGTTTTTTCCTCTCTCCTCCAAGCCCTTCTGAAATCATGACTCAAGCTTCTGTGTTTTTTATCTCTGTAAGCATACAACTACACAAAAAAAAATTTGTTAATCACATCTGAAAATATGGAACTTTGCACCTCATGAAGCTGTGGCCAAAAATATGTCCTTTTAAAAATTAGAGGGAAAAAAAGTTGATTTTGGACTGAATCTTATACGAAATACCTACCCAGCCTTTTATTAGTAATCTGAAATTTATCAGTGGCTGTCTAATATTTGTAAAAATTTTTCCATTTTTTTACAATATTCAAAGAGAAATAAGTGAAAAAGAGATGTTTCATCACAAAGCTAGGACATTAGGAGAAATCTAGATGCAGAAAGAGTCTGTGATACACCACCTCTTAGAATATAATGCAGTGACAGGTCTTTGCCCAGCAAGAAGGCCTTTGCCCAACCAGGTCTTTGGTTTGGCAGTAGTAAAATCCTCTGAATTAAAGATTTTTTTCCTCTGTATTTTCCTCATGCACCTTTTTTGATATTTGAGAAAAGATGTAGAGTAGCTCTGTACTGTATTTTGATATTTAATATTTGTAGCATTTCTACAACTTTACTTTTGTTTATGTACATTATGATTCAGTAAATTTTTAAAGAGGCATGTATTTTTCCAATTTCTTATTTATTCCTAATAGAATAAATCAATAGTTTTTCTAAAAATGAGGAAAATATATGCTCTATAGTTTGCTGTTGCTTCACAATTCTCATAGATCTTTGTCATTCACCACCCTAAACAAATCTGCCCTTTCCAAATTCATGAAAACAACCTCTTCACGCTGCTGCATACAATTCAGTAATTTATTAGGCTGTCCCTATTTGTTCAGCATTATCTCATCTGTTTGTCCTATAGGGTGTCAATTATTTAACAGTAGTCAGTCTGGTACATTGATTTAACTTCTTGAGTGTAAAGGCTTAAGATAATTTCTTTTCACAGTGGAACAAGGCTCTGCTGCTTCCAGTGTTTGATGCCTATTTCATCTGAGGCAGATGCTTGGAGCCTGTGAGTAATACTTCCTTCTACTTGAATGCATTTAATTTAGCAGTCTTTCACAGTGGTTTAATTCATCCCAGCTAGTTAATGAACATTCATTCCACCAGTATAGATATAGTTTTCCTCTAAAAATCAGTAAAATTATTATAACAAAAAAGGTTTCACCAACCCTTGCTGCTAAGAATCTTCAAAGGAATTTGAAAATTAGTTTGAGAGTGAGCACATGTTCAGAAACAATATAAAAAAGAACATACTTAATAGCAAAACGTAAGTGTCAGCAAAATCTGAAACAAAAGGAGAAGCCTGCAGAATAGAGGAACCTCTAAATTGTAAACTAATATTTTTTTCTGATATATACTGCTCAGTTCACATGTGACAGTCTCAATTATGTTCTTTACCAACAAAATTTTGAAATTTTGTATCCATAATGCTTATTAACTGAACTTTGATGATTGCCACATGTTTTTCCAGTAATACACCACGGCTCAATTAAAGACTGAATTTACTCAAGTATGAGTTACACAAACAGCCTTTTGGGAAATATGTTTTTTGAGCAGGGATGGGAGATATCTGGGACCCCAAGGATGGGTGTTCTACCTCAAGTACATCTATGACACCAGCTTCCCACTAGGCAAGCACAGCTTCTGCTGGGAAATGCTTGTTGAATTTCATAAAGAAGCATTTTGCAGAGTTCAGATCTGTATAATCACTAGACCATTCTCTGAAAAGTTATTCATGATCTCCAGAGTGCTCTGATTTCTGTGTCCATCCAAGTACACGTCATAGCTGGAAACATCTCATGCTATTGGGGAAGAAAAGGGAGATAAAAAGGAAAAGGAAGCTACTTGCAGTAAGATTAGACAGGAGACTTTTTCTCATTCTGTGCTTTTCTACCGTTCACACCTCAGGGATTTTCAATCTCCCCTGTGCTGTGCTAGAAAAAAATTCTCTCTAATAAGGAAAACCATATTAGCTCTTTGTAGCCAATGTCTGTTCTGCTACAGCATCCAGACAGATGTAATCTTTCTTTATGAAACAAGTTGTTCTTCCTTGTCCATGACGTGGCTTAGACATATTAAGTCAAGATTTTTCTGATATGACTTCTGTGTTTTGTACAAGTGCTGTGGGGCAGGAACAGGTGATCAAAAGAGGAAGGATGAAACTGGAGCAAGATAGATGCCTTTGCTGTCACACAGTAGCTTATTAAATATCTTGCTAGGTTAAAAAATGGTCTTGGTAGAAACATCTAACCAAGGTAACTTTGTAGTTCACTATCTCCAGCTAGCTGCAGTTAGGATCATCAGCAATTATCTGTCTTGAAATTATGGTGTGATTAAAATAGAATAGAACAGGCTATTTCAGTTGGAAGGGACATATAATAATCATCCAGTCCAACTGCCTGACTATGTCAGGGCTGACCAAAATTTTAAAGCATAAGGGCATTGTTCAAGTGACCCTTAAACACTGACAGGCTTTGGGCCTTGACCACCTTTCCAGAAAGCCTGTTCCAATGTTTGACCACCCTCTTAGTAAAGAAATGCTTTCTAATGTCATCTGAACCTTGTGAAGGAGCAGGAAGCAGAGTGGGAACAGTTCCCAGCATGGAGGAAGATATACAGCAATTAACAGGAGTTTATGATATGGACTTTGCAGTTCTTATGTATATTTATAATATTCTTATGTATATTTATAAATATACACATTGTATGTTTCCCCAGGATTTGTATTTCCCGGGCATGCCCAGGCATGCCTGCTTCCCCGCTTCCCTCTCTGATAGCCTGAAGAAGCTGCAGAGAGGAGACAGCCACCATTCGCCCTTTCTTTCCCCGGTTCCTCCCACATTCCTCCCCCTTTGCCTGTGTCCCTACCCCGATTTGTTCCCCCGTTTGTCTGTCTCATGCTCCACCCCATGTTCTAGCCCTTTCCCTGCCTGAACGCATAAAACCCCTGCACACCTCAATAAAGCATTCCATTTGCACCTCTACCTTGACTCTGGACCTGTCTGTGCTGTGTCACAGCCCCATTCCCCTCCCCCCTGGGACCGTGGGAGAACCTCCCCTGGCTCTGGCACAGCTTTGAAGCATTCCTCTGTGTCCTATCACTGAATCCCAGGGCGAAGAGTTCAGTGCCTCCTCTCCCCTTTCCCTCCTTAGGGAGCTATAGAGAGCAATGAGGTCATCCCTCAGCCTCCTTTTCTCCTAACTACACAAGCCCTAAGTCCTCAGCTGCTCCTCACAGGTCATCCTTTCCAGCCTTGTCACCATCTTTGTTGCCCTCCTCTGGGCACATTCAAGAAGCTTCACATCCTTCTTAAATTGGAGGGCCCAGCACTGCACCCAGCGCTTGAGCTGAGGCTGCACCAACACTGAATACAGAGGGATAATCACCTCTCTTGGCCGGCTGGTAATGCCATGTGTGATGCACCCCGGGATGGGGTTTGGGCTCTGGGCTGCTGGGACACACAATGCTGACTCACATCAAGCTTCTGCTGACCAGCAACCCCAGGTCCCTTCCTTCAGGCTGCTCTCCAGCCACTCCTCTGTCCATTCATACTTGTGTCTGATGTTACTCCATCCTAGGTGCAGGTTTTGACTTGTTAAATTTTATCCGATTAATCATAGCTCAGTGTTCCAATCTACCTAGATCCCTTTGCAAAGCAACTTGTCCCTCAAGACAGCCAACAGCACCTCGCACTTTGGTCTCATCAGCAAACTTGCTAATGGTGCATTCAACTTCTGCATCCAGATTGCTCATACACTGAACAGAACTGGCCCTGAAGTGGAACCCTGAGGAACACCACCGGTGTCTGACTGCCAGACAGATGTAGCCCCATCCACTACAACACTGTGAACCCTGCCCTTCAGCCAGTTCTTCACCCACGCTCTGTGATCCCCACTCATCCCACAGTTGGACATGTTCAGAAGGATGCTGTGAAGGACAGTATCAAAAACCATATTAAAATCAGAAAACCACAACCACTGCCTTCCCTTCACCCACTAAGACATCATATTAGGATATCAAGTTAGTTAAATGTGATTTTCCCTTTGTGAACCCTTGTTGACTGTGTCTGATTGCTGGTGGCTGGCACAACACCACTTTTCTAAGCATTCTTTAACATGTTCTTTGGAGTTGATTATCTGGTGAGCCTAGAGTTGCACTCAGAATTCCAGTAGTGGTGTTTTTTTCTAACTGGCAGCAAGAGCAAGTTAACAAGTTAGTCAGGTTTTTTCCACCTCTTTGTTCATAAGACTAAATAGTGTTTTCTAACGTATGCTTACCTATGATTGTTTAAAAAATAAAAGAGGGAAGGGACAGCATATGGTCCCTATTTGTTGCCCCTAATGAAAAGGAGAACCACGCAGCAGGAAGCCTGTGAACATACTAGAATGCAGAAGAGACCCACAAGTACAAGCACAATGTCATGCACACATCACACTTCTGAAAGTTCAGTAGAAGTTACAGATCCCACTCTACATTACTGAGCCAGAACTGCTATTAAATAAAAGGGAAACACTAGCTTTCTTGATAGATCCAACATAGTGAATATGCATTGGAGGAGCATGACTGACTCACAGGCAAGATCTAACATAAAGGAAATGCAAGGGGAGAAAAGATTATGTCAAAATAAAGTGCCTAGGAGAGTCACATGGGAACAAATTCTGTGATGATTCTTGCTGTTAAAACAAGTTGCTCCTTGTCTTTGTTTTCAAGCACTGCAGTTGGTTGCCTTTGGAAAAAAAAAAAGAGGAATTGGTTGGGAACTGAAGAGTGGTCTGTCAGTGTGGTGTGGATGGGATGGCATTAGAACTGTCATGCTCTACTCAACATGGTCTACCAACAATGAAACGCTGCTCTTGTGGAGCAAGAGCAAATAGCCAAACCTATTTATTTTCCGGAGTTTTAATTCCTTATATTGCTGGATTAACACTGCCTTATAAAAACAGATACTCTATTATTTTAAGATCACTGAGTTGTTTTTTTTTTTTTTGATACATGCTCCTTTATGGTTCTTTGCTTACAGCTGTCATATGCCAACTGTTATCTCTTGATGTTGTGTAATGACACAGTTATTTGGAGGATTTAGAAGTTGTAAGAAAAAAATTTAATATTTGCTATTTACTCAAGTCACAGATTCAAGGTTTTTCTTACATCTGCTTTATTGCATTTCTTGTGCATCTTTTGCTCACCAGACGCTCCTCTGCTGCAAAGTCGTTTTGCTTATTTACATTTCCTTGATGGTGTTTAAAATGTCATTTATTCTACACCATTGCTCTTCTGTTAGATCTCTTTGTGATAGTTCTATCTTCTTGTTTTCAGGTTAACCTCTCACATTAGGTCATCCTGCAATAACAGTTGAGCTGAGGCTACCTCTGTGAGGTTGTCTGACCCTGCAGCTGTTTCATAAGCAGTGGGGTGGAAGAAGGAATAGAGGACGGTAACTTTTTTGTTGTTGTTGCTAGTACGTAAACCCATTTGTTCAGTTCAACAGTTTGTTAACAACAATCCCTGACACTTGCCACTTCAGATCACATGCATGGCAGCGCTCCATTTGATTGAAAAGAGTGGCTTTCAGGGCATAATTTACAAATAGTATTGGCAACTGGAAAAAGCAGCATTCAAACTCGTTCAGTGTTTACCTTCAGAACTAAAATAAGTGTTCTTGGTTTTTTTACTAAATTGCTCACCTAAATGTATGTGAATTTGTAATGCTATGTATGTTATGCAACAACACCACACCACTATTAGGAAAATGGCCTAAGGATTTAAATATAGCCAGGGTAGTTGCACTGAGATCTCACATAATCTGAGGAGAAACTAATTTCAAAACTGTTAGGTTCATTTTAGAAGCTTGCATCCCTCTGTGTGTTAATCTATTTCCACTGCAGTCTTACAGTCTTTTGCAGTTTGGCTCCTCTATAGCAACACTGCATGCAGTTCTTCTGGCTGATCTCAATCATATGTTTGGGAATCAATTAATTTAAAGCAAAATGAAACTATTTTTAAACTGAAATTTCAAGTTGTAAAGCTCCCATTTTGTACCTACTGTTTCAGATTTCAGTATTGAATTTGCCTTAACTTACATTAGTTGCTAGAGAAAGATGAAGTTTTAAAGCAAATGTACTTCCCCAAAGCTTTATGAATTTGCACCCAATATTCTTTGGTCATTGGTATATTTTCTTTGCTCCCAAGCTTGGAGGCAAGAATCTCTGCACATATGAGCTCCCAGTAAAAAGAAGCAAAGAATTCTGCGCAGGTATTTACAAAAATTTCAGTATATTTTTAGCTGTTATCATGACCAAACTAGTTAAAACAATATTTTTTTACTTACAGTGACTCTTATGACATTTTTGCTTGCCATTGCATTATATTGTTGCAAGAACTAACCTTGTAAAAGGATCCTTTTTGCTAGAATAAAAAAAAGGACTGCAGAAGAAACGAGTGATTGTGAAATACAAGTTAACTTCTTGATCCCTTGGGGGAACTTTGATTAGAGTAGGCTTGCAAATTATTGTTTTCAGAAGCTCAAGGCTGTTTTGCAGAAACCAGAGCATAATAATGAAGCACTACCAACTGTAGAAGACAGGTTGCTCTCCCCTTCCACCCAACCTACTAAATTTCACTCACCTCACGAATCTTAGTTGCTACAGTTGCTACAGTTGCTATCATGTGAAGTGTTAAGTTTATTTTACTCTTGTTCCCCAGAGAATATCAGTATGAAAACTTACTATTGTATCACCAGATCTTGAAACCTCCTGATATTTCTGCTTAAAAGCAAACTAAGACACTAAGGTGAAGTTTGAAAGAGAAAACACACACAAAGAGATATGCAATGTCTTTCTCCATAAGGGGAAGCAAACTTTTGAACATCACAGAAGTGGTTTTAAAGATCAAATTAAAATTAGTCAACAGCATCACTTGTGGAAAAAAACAATTTTAATGAAAGGTAATTTTTGATGCCTTATCTTTGTATAAATATGCTTTAACAATAGCTTCTGTCTACACACATGTATATTTTCAAACACCTGATGCCTCAGAATCTTTGGAAATCCTTATGAATTAGTTTTGAAGACCCCAGTAGACAAATGTGATTAAAATGTGGATTTTGTTCTTTTATTGAGACTTCGTTCACTTGCTCTGTGGTAAATTTACTCTGCAGCCTCATGCAACTGAAAACAATTATTGGTTTCATCTGTGCAGAGAATCACTGGAAGCAGTCTCATCTATTCCATTACTGGCATAAAGTACTTTTGTACTTATACTTATGTCACTCCTGACAGATGCCTGTCGATCCTGATCTGAAAGGCCTTTAGCAATGAAGATTTTACACCCACTCTATCCCACTCTTCTGCTGTTCTTAGCAGTTGAAATATTTCCTGAATATATAATCAGAATCTCCTCTGCAGAAGTCCATTACTTCTTGCTCTATTTGGACAAAGGAAGATACAGATTTTGCTTACTCTGACTTCAGTGAAGCTTATGAAAGGAAAAAAAGAATTACAAAATTACTTAAGGAAAGTTATGAAATAAATTAAACTCAGCAGAAGGTGGTGAAAAGTGCCCCAGTCATAAGCACCGTGAAGATTGGATGGGATCAGTGGAAGTGGCACTCTAGCAGTCATGAAGAAAAATGGAGGATGATGAGATGACTGTGACACAACAATGTCAGGATACTGTGAAAAGAGATAAACATCACTCTGGAAAGTATAAATGGGCAGACTATAAACAGGAAAATATAAACATAAAGGCTGGAGTACCGTATCCTACTAGGAAAGCTTCATTTTCCAGAAAGATGTAAAGCAATTAATGGAATCTTAGATGACAAAAACGGAAAGAAGCTAAAGTGTTGTATATATCATCTGAAAAAGCTGAACAAGCTGGGACTTCCTAGCTTAAAGAAAGCTTAAAAGGAAGATGACAGCCTTCATCTAATAGGTGAAACAGTTAGAAGCAAAAAAATATATGACCATTTGAAGAGCTTGCAGTTGTTATCTTAGCTTTTTCTAGCATATTTTGCATCAGGCTGCAATCATAAAAGTTTTCTAGGAGCTGATCACATGTCAGGTGTGTAAGGACAAAGTTTGAAGCCCATGCTGGTCATGTGCATTGACCTGCTTTAAGGGTGTCCTCAGAGTTGGCAAGACTTGGGTGAGCCTATCTTCACTTTAGCAAGTCCATCTTCACTTGGACATCCACCAGCTTGGTCCTCAGGCATTTCCCACAGTGTCCCTTGAATTCTGAAACCAGGATTTTTAAGTAGATTTTTGTCAGTGGCATTGAGTTGTTGACTGGGTCATACTGACATGAATTACTCCATTATTTGTTGACTTCTTGTGTACATAGTTTCTTTCTCTCAGAAACTGTGACCCTGGTCTCACTAAGCTGAACAGCTTTTAATAACCCTTAAGACTAAACAGAGCGCTGGGGCAAAGCTTCATCAGCTTCAACACAAACAAGTGAATAACATGTGCATTCTCACTGCATTATTATGAAACCCAGAGTTGACCGAATACATGCTGATGATTGCAACACTAGAAGTAACTATGTAAGTGTATAAAGACAAATTAAAATCAATTTGTTTGGAATTGATATTGATAAATTCTTTGAGATTTTCTACAATGTGAAATTGTGATGAGATTTATACCATCTGCATTGCATGCTCTCAGTAAAATGGCTTATATGTGGCACCTGGAATATGATATTCTTTCATTCTTTGTGTGGATGGAATGTTGTTGTGGTTTAGGAATGGCATGGGGTGATATAGAATAACCTCCGGGTCCTGGCTATGCCCCTCCTGGCTACTGCAAAAATTAACCCTGTCTTGGCCAGAACCAGGGCACATGTTATAGGAGAAAAAGGCCCTTTATATCACTTAGAAATTTAATTTTATAATTAGCTTATTCCTTATATTATTTCACTGTATGTAGAGCAGCTGCAACTGAAATGAGGAAAAAAATCATTAACTTGGTAGAAGAAACATCATGAAGATGCATTAAGGATTAATTTCAGCCATTAATTTTCATACCATTATCATAATCAATGGTGGCTAACTAAAGATTTTGCTAATTGAAGATAAATATTATAATAACAAAATGTACATGTTGGACCTCCTTCATTTCAAAGCAGTTATATAATTCTCAACCAGTAAAATTTGTCTCCTTTATATAATTCCCAGAAGAGTAAACTGCTAAATAAGGATACTAAAAAGGCCAGAGATTTTAAAGAAACCTTAGATAACAGAACTGGAAGGGATCTAGAGAGCTCATACTGTTCATCTCCATGTGCTTATTTAATATCATTGCTGTAAGTAATCCTGAGAAATTAAGAGGAGTAGCTTATCTGAGTAAATAAAAGGATACATCTCTCTAGGTCTGAGAGTATATTTTTTAATAACTAAACTAATTTTTAATTACTAAACTAATTTTTAATTTTTCCTTGGTAGATCAAGTTGTTGATTGAAGGAACTCTGAATTGAGTAACCATTTAAAAGTGAGAAGTTCCACATATTTACCCAAAAAATGGATAATAAAAAATGGGTGGGAAAAAAGGTCTTTCATGTAGTGCTTTTGTACATGTAAATAGTAAGCTTTAAAACAACCACATGTGTGCAAACAAATTAAGAGCAGTGTGTTTTTTAGGGCAAGATTCATCTGCCTGGAAATTTGCAAGTACTTCCCAATTGCTCAGCTGGATAATTATTCCCACATGTTTATTGATGGATCTAGCTTTTATGGCAGAGTCAGTCTAAACCAAGTGAGAATTGTCATCATGGATTCCTTTGATGTTATGTTTTCATTTCATAATTTTAGATTTGAACTATCATTAATACAAGTGTATGTAAAAAACTATATATTTTTAGAATGCTTTCAGTTATAGGCACGACATTTTTCTTACTCAAATGCATGAAATAGAGTATATAGTTCATACCTACTGTTTCTATTCTGTGGCATGTTTCATATCAGGGCTAGATAATTCCTCCAGATATTCTGGTCAACAATAATTTACAAAAGCAAGTCTACTAAAAGCAGTAAAAGCTTTTGCAAAACTTTCTTAGGGGTCTTGTAAACCATGTGTCAGCCTGTGCAAAGATGGTGTGGTACCGGGTCTGCAACACTCTCTAGGTTGCCCTAACATTTTAAGAAAACATCTGACAAATAATCAGTCAAAATAAACCTGTTAACACTTCTAAACCTCCAGAATTCTAGGTTCTTCTGATGACATGGACCATCACAGGAGACTGGCATTATAACTTTCAGAAGGAGACTGTCCAGAATCAGCATTTTCCAGGTACATTTGGGTTAGGATTTTCAGGATTTGCTTGATGTACAAATTTCTTCCCCCTTCCGA